AATAAAAATGAATTGTATTAGTTCAAAGTCGAAAAATTTTTGCAGAAAATTTTTACATGTATTATTAGTCGAGTACAAACGAAAATTTATCAAAATGATCATTTATTTTGGAAATTATTTCATTCTTATTTATTTTAATATTATATCAATAATTTTTTTATCCTAATAAATTATAAAATTAAAATATTATAGAATAATATTCTAAATTTACACTTTTTCTTAAAATAGGAAATTATTATTATTTGCTCTGTAATAGCTTGCCTGCACAAGTGGACAATTCAATTTCGTCTAAAATGCGTTTCTAAATACGCGTAGATATAAGTTAGTATAATTTCAGGCATTTTAGTATAAATCTATGCCAACGTTATTAACATCGAGATTATAAAATTGTAAAGTAACATAATAAGGAAGGCCTGTCGATTGTAATAAGATATTTTTTAATGGCTACTGACTTCAATATACTTGAGTAGATTGCGAGTTGTTATTCTTTTTACAAATAGCAATCGATTGTGACATAGGATAAGTGATTTCTCTTCTAAGGCTTTGGACACTTCCTATAAATGATTCAAAGGCCATAGAAGATACATTAATATAATTTGAAATTTTAAGTATTTCTAATAGAATATAAATTTTGAGTTCAAGTCTGTTAAAAATTTATTAGTATACGTACTGAGGTATAACGTTGGACATTAATACTTCAATCGATTTTTTCTTAAAAGATATTTTCTTGAGCAATGAATATAGTTAGAAACTAAATTATTGGTACAAATGGTGTATTCATAAATGCGCATAGTTTTTCTGCAAATGAAATATTATCCGAGCGCTTTACTTAATAAAAAATGTAATCAAATTATTTGGAATATTTTTAATATATATATATATATATATATACATAAAATTTCATTAATTTCCTGTGTTATGTAATATACATTCATACGGTGCATTATTCTTCAATAAATTGCATAGTCCATCGAGTATCGATGTGGATACATTACAATTATAATGTCTTATTTGCTTCTAAAAATTAGTATTTAATTAGATTTTATTTTTTATAAATTATGGCTCGTGTTAATGTTAATAAAAATAATAAATTTTGAATGATAATTTAGAAATATTTTGAAAGAATCTTTCTACGTTATAAATATGTTTAAAATTCAGGTATATGATATATAAAATATTTTTTGAAAATTGTTCGAAAAGAATCAATTAGAAATTTTAATTGTAAATATATTTAATGAAAATGTGCTATAACATATATATATATATATATATATATATATTTATTTATTTATTTATATAGATATAATTATTGACACAAACCATATTGTTGTTGTTGTTGTAATTAATACTAATTCTTTTTCGCTATTAGACTTGTAAAGTAAAGACAAAAGAAATTGTACTATGAAATTTATTCTCGACTTACATACCCACATTCAAAGGTTTTCTAAATAATATTAAATAGCATAATAATTACTACTTATTAATTATACATACATTTTTTAATATCACTTTCAACTTATAGTTTACTGATTAATTAAATTATCATATCTGTATGAAAGTTTACATCAAGTATTATTAAGGTCAGAGTCAATTTTTTTTTTAATTAGAATATTAAATTCTTTACCTTGCAAAAAAATATTTAATTAAATAAAAAATAAGGAAGTCACTTAGGAAATCAGGTTATTCAAGATTATTTTTTTATCGTTAAACCGCGTTGCCATATTCTCGTGTTTTTGGAAAGACATTAAAATTTATAGAATGAAGATAAGCTCAATCGTGCAATAATAAATTTTATAATTTAATTTTATTCGCATGCTTGATATACATTTCTACGCCAATCCAAAACTAATTTATCAACTTTATGTGAAAGCGAAAACGAAATTGCATGAGCAGTCTCAAGCTTGAGTGCAAGAGATCGAAAGGTGTATAAATGAGGAAGCGCGAGATACCGAATAATCGGAAGGAAGAAATCGAACAGCAATGAGTGCGAAGTACGCTCAGACCACGTAAGAAATAATGAACCGAATGTACGAAACAAAAATACCGATTGCATCCACATTCACTGATTTGGATGGTTGCCTCGTGTTTCTTTTAAAAATGAATAAAAAAGGGACGGGGACACTTTCGAATCCATCCACTGCTTCGTGTATTTATCTGATATGTACATGTACAAAATGTAATGCTGAATTTATATTGAATTCATAAGAACTCGATAACTTTGTATTGGCAATAGCTTTCGAGAAAAATGTAAGTAAAATTTTAAATCTCTCAAAGACAGACTTAAAACATAATATCCGCGCTTTCAGAAAAAATTTATAAAATTATAAAATTATAACGTGAAAAATAATTATTATAATGAATTCTAACGAAACCATTAAAAAATTGTCTTCGATATACATAGGAAGAAGATGTGAATTTGTCAATTAGATTTATGAGCCTTACTTCTTTCGTTTTCAGTTAGCTTCAAACAAAGCCGGTATAAATTATGCGTAATGATATTGAAAAGAAAAAAGAAAAAAAAGACGAAGAAGAGAAAAAAACTAATGGAAAAGTTAATTGAAAGAAAAAACAATCTCAATCGTTTCTCAAACAAACCATCAATTAGGTTGTAAATGATTAGATTTTTTTTTTTTTTTTTTTTTTTTTTTTTTGAATAGCGACGGGGTAGCTTGATAAGGTGAGAGAAAAATAAAAGGAGGGAAATGCTTGTCGCGCGAGGGAATAACCCAATTTAGAGCAGCATAAGGTCTCAATGTAATCGAAAGTGGCATAAATTAATAAAATATGAATAAACGTTAAAGAAAATAAAAAATAAATGCTTGTGCTACCGGTTGCGTGAGAACTTGGGCGATTGAAACATAAAGATAGAGCGAGAGACATGAGTGGAATTATGATTAAAAGAGCGAACGCGCGGCTGAATAAAAAGTGATGAAAATTTGAAATTACAATGGCGAAAAGCGAGACGATAGAGACAGAGAAAAGCGACTTGTGGGATTTTAATACGTTTTCTTTCCGCCGTGGCGGACGGGAGAGCGAGAGCGAGTCTCGCGCCGAGACAGACACACACGTAAGAGAAGACGAGATCGTGGGAAGAGAGTCCGGGGTCTCGGACGCCAGGCACCGCTCGAGAGTACGGACGGCGTCGGTGAAAGTTCAGCCAGCTGAACATTAGCGTGCTATCGGCTGGATGGGTCGATAGGATCTGAGAGGGCACTGGAGGTGGGATGGGGGGGGAGGATGAGGAGGAGCTCTCGCGAAGATAGGTACTCGGCAATGAGCAGCTTCTTCCGTTTCCGCTTGGTAAACTTTTGGGGAAAAGCACGGGAATGGGGATCGACATCGGTGGCTTTCGCAACCTCTTTCCACAATCGGCCCTTTCTCTTTGCCCGGCAGCTCTGCCCCTTTGTGTCTTGCGACGAAGCGCGAGAAGCCCAACACCGCCGCAAATAATTATGCGCTTCGTTTCGGAGGTCCGGCGTGCTCAGAGCATTGCGCACCGGCACCGGGACGCTCGCGAACCCAGCCCTTCGAGCTTCAAAATCCGCGGCGTCTGGCACTCCAAGAAATTTCCAACAGCGGCCTGCAGGGCGATGCCTTACACTTGGACACTTGGGCAAGGCGCCAAACTTACCTCATGTTATGTTAATATCGCTTACGTTTTACTGATCTGGTATGTTGTGTAGCTACGTACCCGATTTTCACGATTCTCGTTGTTAAGTGCTCGTGATTACTCAAATTCTATTTATCGAATGCTAAAATCTATTTTGCGCAATTGCTTTTTGCATTAATCGAGCTTGTTTATTTTCTCGTCGTAATAAAGCTCGCGTTCATCCTTTCTTGCCTTAATTTATCATAATGATTCGGCCGACTGCTCGACAAACTTCCTTTCCAAATTTATAATAATTTTCACCGATACTTTACCGTCACTTGAAGCATTTTAACGCAAATAAAAACTCTGCCCGTTTCTCTGCATGCAATTACTGTCGATAAGTACATTATTTATCATTATAAAATATAATGGGTTAATGTCAATTAAGAAAATTAATGTAAGCCTTAATTCTAGTAAATCAATCATTTTTCTTCACTCCCCATCATCATGATGCAATGTTTGCCAACTTTGTTTTTTTTTTAGCTTTTTTCCTCCAACTTCAAAAATACAAGTATTCATTTACAATGTAAATTATACGCGAAACTTATATTTAAGAAGAATTCATTATTTCCATACATTCGCAATGTAATTTTAATCGTAATCATTTCCTTTGTAAATTATATATCAATTTATATTTATAATTCTCTTACATTAAGAATCACTATGATAAATTACATTAATGAATATTACTGAAATAATTATGGCTCCAGCATTATTCCTGAAATTTTCATCGAATTCTTTACGAACGACAATATTCTCAATTCTAATATGTTACACTAGATTTTATCAACTAATAAATTTCAACCATACAACTTTATTTTAATTTACGTTACATATGATGTCTATTATATGTATTAATGTCTTTATTAACATCTGCATCTATATTATCCATTCTTATCGGAAATATTTTCAAAATTAAATAACAACGCGTGACATCAGTTGGAAATCAAAATATATCAAAAATATATCAGAAATTTAATAATAATTTATTAATGCTCTTTTTATAAAATTGAAATTATGATAATCAACTCTACATAATAAATAAAATAATAAGAAAAAGTTCAATGCTGTTTTAACGCATAATCCATACTTTACACTTACAAATTTTTAACCAATCTATCCATGTTTTTGTTTTCAGTTCATTAAAGATCCAAAGCTGTTCGATTAAAGCTCCCGCTATTGAAAATATTAATACGCATGCGTTGTGATAAAAGAAAAATTGTAGAAGCCACAGTGCCTTTGTTTAAATATAATTAATAATAACAATGTTCAATGTATTTCTATGGTTGTGAATTTTATTTCTTACGTTATTATAAAAAGCAAGAGTAACAAATTTCATCAAATACTTTTATTTATTTTTTTCATATAACACAAATGTTAAATAAATTTTCTATATAAAAGAGAAAATAAGTTTTGACACTTACAAACGTAATATTCATAACATAACCTTGAAATGAACTGACAAATATTACTAATAGTGAAAAATAAACAATTGTAGAGTTTTTTATTTTGGATAAACCATATTTATAATAAAGATTTTAAGAAAATGCTTTCGATGGAAAAAATTCCAGATCAAATTGGTTATCTAGTATTGACAGAGGATGGAGCAGTATTAACGGTATGTATACATTGTTTACAATTAATATTTGTGCAATAAATAATGTTTTCGTAATCGTAATTAATAATTTGTTTTAGTCTGGCGGTGAATTGGAAAATGATGAAAGAATTGCTAATATTATAATGAGTTTAGTTTCTCTAACTGATAAAATAGATTTTAAAGCATTTTCATCTAATGAAGGTTTTGAAAAAATTTCAATCATATATGACGATCATTGTTATATTATTTGTTTATCGAATAAAAAAATTCATGTGATTAAAAGAAAATCTACAGCAACGAATACAACAATAAATCCGCAATTAATTGAAATTTAATTTCTCGTAAAAGAAATGAGAATGATTCATAGTAAAGTATATTTTATATTTTTAAAAGTTATAAAATATTGTATATTATTTATATTGCTTTATTAATCAATACACAATGTATTATTTGCTTATGTTTTCATAATTAAATAACAATTTTATACATTTATGTATATATATATATATATATATATATATACACATTCCATATGTGTATATCCAACAATTGTTAATATAAAATTATATTATTTTTAATAAATAAAGTATAAAGTATTCATTAGCCTTTTTATTTGCATATTTACAAAACTTAAACTAAAACTATTAGGTATCGCTTTCCGAGCTTGTGTTATCATAATGAACTAAAAGGGGAAAGTGCTTGCTGCTTTCGTTACTACTTGTTGTACTACAACTAGAACTTGGTTCGTTTGTATTTGAAACAGAAGGTAGCGAGAGTTTTTCATCGTTTTTTGTACTCGATACGAATCTAGATTTTTGTTTTGATCTCTCCCTTGATTGAGCAACAGAAATCATTTGCTTAATGGGTAGTAATTTATTTTTCTTACCTAAACAACGATAATAAATTTTAATCTTGTACAATATGTAAAAATAGTAAAAATCAAATTCAAGTATAATTTATATATTACATTTTGTTTTATGTTGTGATAGTAATTTTGCCAATCTTATGTCATCTTCATGCTCACTGACTAAATTAATATTAATACCCAGTTTCTTTAGTAACATTTGGTCCGCGCTTGATTTCTTTTGTATTTCTTTTTTTTTTGCCTACATGAATGTCAAATGAACATTATTTATATAAAGTTTTCTCATTTAAATTGATATGTTAATTATTTATTCACCCTAAATGATGCTCTAAGAGCACAATTTGAAGTATAATCATCTTTCCAAAATGTTTCGTTTAGAGCAATTGCATTTTCTAAAGCATTTGATCTTGTTTTAGCAACTTTTTTATCTTCTATGTTGTGTTCCAATTTATACATAGCATCGTCGTATAATCTATGGGAAACTTCCTTTGTTTCTGGAACTATTTGTTCATTTTCCGTTGGATCCCAACGATTCTCCTGACGTCGTGCTCCACTGACAATTTCATAATTTAAATTCTGTAAAATATAATTTTGTCGTACAATCGATTTTATGACTAAGCAAGTTTTGTTTTTATCTTTGTAACTTACTGCTGGATCTGTCTTAATTTCAAAATGATTATCACATAAATGACATTTCATTCTAAATTGATACAAGGGGGTACTATAATACATTCCTATCTTCTTCTTTTCTGCATTATACCGCACTCCCATTCCTATATGATTTTGGCATCCATTACACCAAATATTAAAGGGCATTTCAAAACGAATAATTAAAATGCCCATATGAAGTTTTCTAGCTCTTTCTCGCAATGCGTGTGTTCCTTGAAATTTATTTATTCCCCCAAATTTTGGATTATAATCAGGGGGATAATATAAGTTTTGTCCTTTTCGTTCTCCCATTTTACTAAACAAAATTTTACCTTTCAATAAATGCAAATAAAGTCACGTATGTATCAATTAATTTTTCTAAAACGACATGAATAAGCAGTTATTTGACGTATTCAAATATTCTAAAATTCAATATTATAATAAATGCAAAAGTAAATAAAACTCAAATGCTTATTACAATTTTACAATTTTAATTAATAATTTTGTAGATGATACAAATCTATACAAATGCATTCTAATATAATGTAATTATAATACATAATAACAAAACTTTTTCTATTCTTTATGTCTATTGTAATGAAAATAAAAACAATGATAACAAACAAGGTTAATTATAAGTGACGTCTTAATTCTTACTCACTCTTATATATTGAGCCAATCGATTAACTTAATATTATATTTACAAATTTATCCTGAAAGCAAACTTTTTTATTTCGAAAACTCTTTTATTAATGAAATATATAAGAAACAAATTTTAAAAAGCACAACCGATAATTTCATTTCCTTTCCACCTGTCATACGGACACATCTAAAAATAATAACTTTACTGACTATGGGGAATATTTTACGGTAATTACACTTACTGTAAATTACTTATTAAAACCCGAAACTATAAAATTAATCTAGAAACTCTATTCTTGACACTGTAGATTTCTAAAAATTACAATGTCCACGTACAAATTTAACAATTATGTTAGAAATTGTAGGTGGAAATGTGCGTATTCGATCAACGAAATTCAACTTAATTTATTTAAATTCATTTTAAATAATTTTGCAAAATTATCATTGCCTTGTTAGGAAAAATTTTCAATGTTTCTATATAAACATGATGATCTATGACTATAAGGACTGTAAAAACGTGGAATTATAACCAAATTGGAATTCACGTGTGTCGATTCAAGAAAAATTGGAATAGCTCCACTATTTAAATTAAATTTTCCTTTTCTATTTTCTTTCACACATTTTACTTGCCTATTATATTTTCCTCTTTGTATAATTCTAAACAATAAGTTTGAAAAATGACGACTAAGCTGCCGTACAAAATTGGTAAATATTTTGATGAATGAAAAAAACTGGCATATTTTTATTACATTAATATACGTTTTATATTTATCAATATGCTGTTTTAACTAAATTTTTATCATTATTATTTAATAATTAATTTTAACTTTTGTCTTGTTTCACTTATAATATTGTATAACTAATGACTGTTGTAAAAAAAAAAAAATAAAATTCATTATTTGTAGATCTTTTAAGTTAACAATTTCTTAGAATTGTAAAATTTTAATGTACTTCATTTTTATTAGCGGACATTTCTTTGGCCGAATGGGGCAGGAAAGAAATTACTTTAGCTGAAAATGAGATGCCTGGATTAATGGCTGTGCGCAAGAAATATGGATCCCAAAAAATTTTAAAGGGAGCTCGTATTACCGGCTGTCTTCATATGACTATACAGACTGCCGTACTTATTGAAACATTGATCGAACTTGGTGCAGAGGTAAGAATCAATATTTATTTATAATTAAATAAAGTAAATAGAAAATATAAGTTTGATGGAGTGATGTAGAGCTTATTTAATATAAGATTCAAAATCCATGCATTATTTATTTTATTATTTAATATTTAGTATATCTTCATTGTATAATGTAAATTTTAAATAACTTTTACTTATACGATTAACTAATTATATAATAAGATCAATTATTCTTTTGATCTTGAAAAATTGATTGTATTAAAAAGCGTTATATATATTTATATATATATTTAATTAGCAATACAAACATTCAAATAATCCTTCAAATCCATCGACAATATTATATAGCAGTATTATTTGTGATAATTAAATGTTAATTAACGTTCTCGTTTAAAAAGTAAATAAAGGAAAATTGTGCTATCTGAGATATTAGAGAATTAAATAAATTATAATAAATTATTCCAATTAGATAATAAACTATTAAACTATTAGATAATAAACTAAATTATACTATTAAATTAAATAAATGAACAATCCAAGGTGCAATGGTCTTCGTGTAATATATTCAGTACACAAGATCATGCTGCTGCTGCGATGGCAAAAATTGGAGTGCCAGTTTATGCTTGGAAAGGAGAAACCGACGAAGAATATTTATGGTGTATTGAACAGACATTAATATTTCCGGATGGAAAACCTTTTAATTTAATTCTTGATGATGGAGGTGATTTGACTAATCTTGTACATAATAAATATCCAGAATACTTAGCTAATTGTAAAGGTATTTCTGAAGAAACGACAACTGGTGTACACAATGCGTATCGCATGTTCAAAGAGAAAAAACTTAAAGTTCCTGTCATTAATGTTAATGACTCTGTCACAAAGGTTGATAAATTTTTAATTTATTGTATAACTTTAAATTTAATAGCATTTTAGAAATATTATTTTTATTAGATATATAACATTTATTTTCTCAACTGACCATATGTAAAATTACATTTTAAAAACTTTAGAGTAAATTTGATAATTTATATGGATGCCGCGAATCACTTATCGATGGCATTAAAAGAGCTACGGATGTTATGATTGCTGGTAAAGTTTGCGTAGTTGCTGGTTACGGTGATGTGGGAAAAGGTTGCGCTCAAAGTTTAAGAGCACTAGGAGGTCGTGTAGTCATAACTGAAATCGATCCTATAAATGCTCTTCAAGCAGCTATGGAGGGTTATGAGGTATTCAAGATAATAAAACATTGCATGTATTTTAAATAAATGTAGATAATTTTCACTGCGTCCTCAAATGTTTTTCTGTGCAGTTACAATATCTAAAATTTATTTTAAATACTTTTATAACAAATGCTCATATATTAAATTAAAAATTTTAACAAATATTATTACTACAGATAACAACTATGGATGAAGCCTCGAAAAGAGGTCAAATATACGTTACAACAACTGGATGTAAAGACGTTATAACAGGGGATCATTTTTTAAATATGCCAAATGATGCTATAGTTTGTAATATAGGGCATTTTGATTGTGAAATTGAAGTTACGTGGTTAGAAAAAAATGCACTTGAAAAAATAAACATAAAGTCACAAGTTGATCGTTATAAATTAAGTAATGGAAGGTGAAACTTATAAATACACACAATATATATATATATATATATATATATATATATATATAACTATTGATTAATCATTGATAAAAAGATAGTGCAATATTAGTTCTATTGTAATGTTGTAGGCACTTAATAGTTCTCGCGGAAGGGCGTTTGGTTAATCTTGGTTGTGCAACTGGTCATTCTAGTTTTGTAATGAGTAATTCTTTTACAAATCAGACACTAGCACAAATTGAATTATGGACAAAATCTAACTCTTACTCAGTTGGTGTTCATATTCTACCTAAAAAGGTAAATTACGTTGATAAAAGAAAAAGAAAAAAAAAATTGCTCTTGGTATTTAAAATTATAACAAATATTTATTTTATAACTAGCTGGATGAAGAAGTAGCAGCTTTACATCTTGATCATTTGGGAGTGAAATTAACAAAACTTACTCCAGCTCAAGCACAATATTTAGATGTTCCTGTAGAAGGCCCCTTTAAAGCCGATCATTATAGATATTAATATCTAACTAAACAACTCCAATTTATGAATAAACTTATAGGCTTTTTGAATTATGAACAAATATTTTATAAGTCTAATATTGTATTTATATTTTATAAAAATTGCTCCTTTATGCGTCCATGAAACACGAATAAAGACAAATTTTAATTAAAAAAAAAAAAAAAAAAAAAACAGTATTTTAATATTTAATTTTAGTTATACTAATAATTAAAAAAACATATAGTAATGAAAATATTTTATGATAATAAATACTTGCTTATTTTAAAAATAGAAATTAAAAATACTTTCTTAATATTTAATTGTTTATATTATAAAGATATACATGCTTTGCATTTGTTTAAATTTATAAGTTTAATGTATTATATATTTATAAAAATTTATATTGAAAAATATAAATTCTTTTTCTTTTAATTACACGATTAAAAGTCACTTATTTCGTTTCATTTTCAAGAAATACTAAAATTTATCATGGTATTTCCTATTAATTATTTTAAGTCTTTGTATTTAAAATTTAAAGGCTGTTATGTATGTAATGAAATATTAAACAACTGTTCATATCAATAGCTTCATTATTTTTAAGCAGCTACTGTATTAACTTATTATTAACAATAGTATTTACATCATGATATAAATTTTATTATTTTACATTTCTTATCTTTTTAAGCACAAAAATATACATCGAATTTACATTTTCAATAGGCTCATATTTTCTTGAAGACAACAGCAACCACAGCCAGTTGGGCAAACAGTTTCATTCGTAAACCATGTTGCTAAATGATATGTGTGACCTCCGTGTCCGCAACCTATACAAAAATTGCTGGGTCCTTAAATAAGGATGTTTCACTCGTTAATATACTTGTACGCTTAATTTATAAAGAAGCATTAGACTTTGTATCAATGATTCTTACCTCTAACGGAAATATGGCATACAGCACATTGAAAAGTTAGTCGTTTGCAAGTAGAGCATTGGGGCCCTTTACTCGATTTGTTACATATCAGACATTCGCTTTGAAATTCAATACTTTTATGCGTGTCAAGTGAAGTGGAATTAACATGCTTTAATACTTGTGCTCGCGCATCTAATAATTTCCACCTGTGTAAAACTTCAGCATATGCTTTTTTGTATGCGTCATATAAGGAAGTATTTTTTTCATCTAAAAGTCTAAAATGTAGCATTAATCGACTATATATATTAATACATTTATACACAATTACTGTATTTATGTAAATAGAAATTATAAATATACTATATATATATATATAATATATATTGTTACTTTATCAGTTATATGTACATATAACTACCTTATATTACGTCCATACTCGGCGCATGTATCTTGAATTTGAAATCCATCTAACGATTCTGACCAAGAATTAGAGCGATTTTGTTTTAAATTGGGAAAATTCCACCCTTCTAAAGTTGTATCTGCAGGATGGATTGTATGATAAGGTGATCCACCGGGCTAGAATTAAATATATAAAAATTAAATCATTATGTTGATTTTATAAATAAATATATATAAAAATAAATAAATATATTATACAAACTTGAAATATCTTACAATATATATGTATATTGTAAATGTTATTTTTACATTAAAAATTACATTAAAAAAAAAAAAAAAAAAAAAAAAAAAAAAAAATAGAAATAGAAATGTTATTTTTAATATTTACAACTTACACATAAATTCTGCATATAAATTATAAGAAATCATGTTAATTTAAGCTTAAAATAGTGTATTAAACTTAATTACCAAATTAATTAAATGTTAAAGCATATAATCAGCTTATGAAATAAATCTTTAATAAACCCCAAGAACCAATCAATTTTTAAAAGCCTTAATTAGTTAGTTATAAACCATATGGGGTTAGTGAGAAATTCATATAAGCATAATTAAAAATGAATGAAAAATGAAGCTGCCTTACCTTTAGCCACCACTTTCCAGTAAAAAGCTTCTATAACAGACATAATACGATAGTGTCAGTTTTTTTTTAAATTTAAGTTTAACATTTTAATAATTGTATTGTTGAAATATTAACACTACTTTGAAGGCTAATTTAAATTAATTATTTTAAATTGTTAAACTTTACATTGCAAGAATTTCTTTTTTAATGATTAATCGAACGTGTATTGTAATTTCATGTAGCATGTAATTATCCGCATGACTGTTTTATTTATATGAAAAATGTGAAATTATAGCTAAATATTACGTGCAAGATTTGGTTCTCAAGGTATATAAAAATAACTAATGGTGTCGTATTTTATATTGTGATTTTGAATATATAAAGCAGCATAGCTTATATTATGCAAATTAAAGAAATTTGAAGAAGTATTAAGCGAAAGCAATTTAAAACTTTTTTTGTTACGCAATGACTTACGCTGACATTTACAGATTTACTGATAAAACGATTTTGTGACATGTCGGAATTTTCAGATCTATAGCTAAACGCACAGCTTAGCATACCAGCCATTTGTATGTCAGATTGATTTACATAATGTTGTATTCTAAAAAATAATAAATTCTTGAGTGTAGAACAATAATTGTTGTATTTGTTTGTATATATATATATATATATATATGTATATATTACACACAGGGAGTGAATTAGATTCTGTCCAAATGGATGTAAAGACCAGGAGGCATCTGCTTCCGTTGTCTGATTAGATGTATTTTGAGAATTAGTTAAAGGATGTGAAATAACTAAAGCGGCTAGACACCAAGCTTGCACAAGGTCGGGTCTCTCTAAACTAGCAGCTACGTTTGCATTATAGTTACACATTGCAGGTATATCGGTTGTGTTAATTCTGCAACAATCATTATTATTAAAACTTATACTTTAACATAGCTGCAAAAATAATGCATAATTAAATATGAAACTTGCATGTATTTTTCTGCTAACTCTTTATTAACAAAAAAAAGTGACGATGCATCATATATTGTTACTAAACTATGATAAGTTTTATAATTTGGTTTTGAATGTGTTCTATTCTGATTGTGACCGCTTCTCCTTGATACCTACACACAAATAAAATAAATAATGCATGGTAGACGATTTGTTATATTGAAATATGTGCATGAAAATTTCATTACACGATCTTGAAAATAAAAAGAACTTATTGAAATATTATCGTTGGATTGAACATATGTGTTTGGATAAATTTGCATAAAGTGCCCTCCGTTGTTAATGCTTGATCCAAGGGCAGATAAAGCACGGGGCGTTGATCCTTCAGGTTTTATAGATGTTCGTCTCGCATAAGAAGAGCGACCAAAGCAGACTAGTATACCTTAAATAAAATTCAAACTTATACCATCGTATAGGTAGCGTAGCTTATAGACACATTGATTATACCGACCTACGCTACAAAATTTGGCGCCTGATGTTCGTGGAAAAGGAATGTATGCATCTTGATAATTTGAACATATTTTATTTGAGTTTAGAAAATTTTCAGTATGCTGTATATGATAACTCAGATGATCGTTTTCTGTTTCATCCTTAACACAGGTCTATAACAATAATGAAAAATGCCAAAAATGAATAAGACATAAATATAAGATAATTGTTCCTTTACATAATAAATCAAATTTCTATGAAATCAATTTATCGTTTATCAGTCGCTTATATTTTATCAAACAATAGCAGATAATATGAAATATTGAGTTGTGCGATATACATGCAAACAAATATATTAATATTATTATTTTAAATTAAAAACATTTGTTAAAGATTTTAATATTTTCCCTCTACTGTGATACAAGGTAGAATGAAAATCGAATCAATGTGTTTCAATCAATTTTCTTATAATAAAATTCAAAATATTAAATAATCTTCTATACGTATCAGCAACAAAAACAGAAAACAAAATATTTTTAAACGTAATTTTCATTCATTTTATAATTTTATAATCGTGTTTTTTTTTTTTTTTTTTTTTTTTTTTTTTTTTTTTTTTTTTTTTTTATAATATTAATATTATTTATAAGATCAAATAAATAATTTGAATTTTCATTACATTTAACTTGCCTGTTCTAATGTGATAATTAACTGTCTTAAACAAGGCTCTAAACAAGATCGATTTTTTTTCACTCTCTGTTGTGCGGTTTGCTTTAATACTTTAAGAAGTTTCGTCATTATCGAATTATCTATGGTTGTTCCAGGACAAAACTGAAATGTGGGTTGTGCACTGTACGGGTAATTCCCTGGAAAATTAACTTTCAGCACAACATTGTAGTTTTTATTAGATGCAGTTACTGTGCAACTTCTCTCTATTGCATCCATTGTATTAACCTAATTGATATTAAAATTATAATTCAATTAATATTGAAATATTATCCAGTTTTGATTTGAAATTTCATACGGATAAAATCCACGTACTTCTATATTTGGTATATTCATATTAATCAAAGAAAATTCTTGTTGTAAAGTTTTTGGTTGAGTGGGCGATGGTGTCTCCTTTTCAAGTTTAGAAATTTCATTGTCATGATTTAAGATTGTAGAGTCCATATTTGGTTTCGGATAGCTTAATTCACGTTCGTTATTTGATTCGTGCAATTGTAATTCTTGCACGGATTGTAAATTTCCTTCAATAAGAATAAACGTTATTGAGTAGCATTAAAAATTACCTGAAATATCTTTAAAATTATAACAAGTATTACTTAAGTTATTTTCTTCCGAATATTGTGTATAAACACAGTTACCATCGTCCATATCATGTCCACATAACTAATAGTTTAAAATACAAATTATTTAAAAAGTATATAAAAAAATTAATTTTAACTTATTAAAAAAATTCATTATATATACGTATATTTTTACCTTTTTCAATAAAGGTGGAATTTTGAAGATTCGCAGGCACTGATCTTTGGACCACGTAATAAGTTCAAAATCATGTTTTTCTACAAAGAAAAAAAAAAGAAAAAAAAAACAAACAATAAATGAAATAACAGTCTATTTAATTTTCTATCGATGCAAAATATCGATGTAATATAATTTATAATTCTCAAACTGCAGCGAATAACGTGTGGGATTGATGAATAAAATTTATGTGCATCATAAATAATTTGAAGAAAAAAAAACTCCTGTACGTAATTTAAATTGAATTTATGTCTAATTACTACAATGATATTTTAACATTTGTTACAATAATCGATTTACCTGATCTTGGTTGACGCCACTGAAATTCTAGAACAACATCGGTATGCCCGACAAATGTATAAATTGGTGCTGATAAATTAGAAGTGTTCCATAACAAAAGACTATTTTCACCTCTGCGTAATTGTGGTACAACAATCGTAACTAGACCTTCGCCGAATGGCTGTAATAATATTTTTCATTGAAATATAAAAGAATAAGATTGTAAATTTCTCTAAATATTATTCTTACCGTGTATCGAGCTCTCCAAACAGGAGAATTTGTTGTGAGAATACTTTCAGCTCTACGAGGATTGTTTGTATCAAAAATTTTAACCGTACAGTCCTGACTGGACGTGGCCAATTGATTTTGATGAAACGGGCACCAGTCCAATCCATGAATCTATAAAAATGATGCACATTGCTATAAATATGCAAACGGCAAAATAGCCGATTATTACTACGTGTAATCGAACGTTTACTTTTGTCAAGTGAGCTGCAATGTATTGTATAGGACTATTTCCTTTACGTTGATCCCATATTTTAATATCACCGTCGTGCGCGGTTGCCAGCATATTTGGAGATAAAATATTCCATCGTACTTGCGATGCACCAGCTTGAAAGCAAAATACAATCGATAAACTTAGACACTTAGATACGAATATAAAACATATAGTAAATAAATGTTCATACAAAATATAACGTACCTACAGCCGAGAGTGACAAACTTGGTTTTCGTTGATCTCTGATATCCCAAATATGAATGTAGGTATCGATGCTACACGTAGCCAATACATCAGGATCTTTAGGATGCCAATTTAAATCGCTAACAACTCTCGTATGCGCGCGTAAACTGTGCATGGGTTGCAAATCATTACCATTGTTACCCATGAAACTTAAAATTTCCACACGAGTATTACTCTTTGTAAAAAAGAAAATTACATACATTTATGAATAATGTTCCCTTCATTGAATCGGTAATGTTGGTAAAATGTAAATTAATAAGAGGCTCACGGATATTGCACATAAATGACAATTGGCTAAGCTGGGATTCCATTCGGCGGATCCCACTTCATATTTGCTCTGTCGATGAAACTTTTTAAGTGGCTCCGACTCTTCGTTAAGATGCTTTACTGCCAGGTACCTACGTCTGCATGAAAAAAGTATATAATGTAATTAAAGTGTCTGATACGAGCATTTCATTTATTAAGTACATACCCTGCTAAAAGTACATGGTTACCCGTAACATCGACAGCCATGGTGTTGGCCTAAACGGAAGAACATTGTAATCAGTGATTGTTGAAAGTGTGCTCCAAGCAGAAAGACGAAAAGTTCGCGAAAATGATGGGCCGAAGCGATGCTTAATCAACGTTACCTGTAGATCTCGATGCTCCGTGACAACATAATCTCTACCCCAGCGTTTCGACATCTTAATGATTTATTAAACAGAATGTCAGTGAATAAACGTTGCTATTGTGCGGTGCCTCCATTCGCGAAGTCTCATAACAATAACGACATTCGTCCACCGTCCGACAATCGTAGATTAGAATTCAGATTAGAATCAATGTAAGCCGTAGGTGCACAATTTGAATTAGATAAGGGGCGCTGACTCGTTTATCGGGTATCGGTAGCATTAATCGCGGTATTTGCGGGACTGGCCTCCTCATCTTCATAATTCACGTGAAAATAAAACAATGGCCGTCGAGCCATTCATAAGAGCCCCGTGGCCCGTTCGAATATCATCTCGTCGTCACTCAGCAGCGACTCGCCCGACTAGTTTCGCGGCCACGGCATTGTTAAGGGTTAGGCTAGTTCTCTCTCTCTCTCTCTTTCCGCCCCGTTGTCCCAACCCGCCCTTCATCCGTACCGTAGCGCACCGGCGGTGTGTGTGCGCGCGTGCGCGCGCGGGACGGAGGAGTGGCACACGTAGAAAATGTCAGCTGCCCCTGACGGTGCCGACAGCGCGTCGACCTGCCTGGTGGTGGAGCGCGAGGGGTGCAGCGGGGGCTAGATGGGATAGGGGGATAGGTACGGCCAGGGCTGGAGGAGGAGAAGGAGAAGGTGGTGGCGGCGGTGTGGAGGGGGGGGGCGGGGGGGGGGGGGGGGGGGGGGGGGGGGGCGGGGGGGGGGCGAACTGCAAGGGAAAAAAAAGAACGCTGTGGCAATTGGTAAAAAAGGAGGGGCAGTGAGTAAGTCGCGGACGAACGAGCGTAAGAGAGACAAAGAGCTGCACTTCGCCTTCGTGACGACGCTATACACTCGCACGCTATTTCTGTTTTCTGTCACTTACGGTAGCATATATACGGATTTGTGTACGCGTTCGTAGGAGAATTTTTTATATACGTATGTATACGGGTACTGGCTGCAGCAAGCTCACCTAAACATATACGCAGTTTGGCGTACATTAAATTGCAGCCAAAGTCGGCAGCCGTCGATTGCGAGTAGGTAGGATCAACATTAAACACAACTATTGGGAAACAATAATAATTGGTGCTCTAGCGCGGGATTATAGATCATTGGCAACAAGAGTATTAATAAATCGACTAAGTGCTCGACGATTAATTGGAGTTGAAGGGCCTTGGAGACGAGAGGTAGTCGAGTTAAAATTGAAGCTTTAACAAGTTTTTCTTACTGGTCATCATCGGCTGAAGAAACCGACGCGCAAGTAGTGCCGTTCTGTTTTCTCTTTTTGACGTACCAAGGGCTCTTTGTTTGTTTGTACAGAAAATAAAAAGTCGCAATGTTCGTGATCATGGATTGTTTTCTGCATTAGCAGGTGACGAGTTTCTGAATTTTTTAGTTTTACTTTGGTTGTAGAGACAGAACGAAGAAGAGCAGTGAGAGCCTTGCCATTTTGGTTCTATATTCAATCCTTTTATAAACTTTAGCTGAACCTCGACCATTTTTCTCGAAGTCCTATCTCGCTTTCTCTCTCTCTCTCTCTCTCTCTCTCTCTCTCTCTCTCTCTCTCTCTCTCTCTCTCTCTCTCTCTCTCTCTCCCTCCCTCTTTCTTTCTGTCATTGCAAACAAATCAAGAAGGACGAATAATTCGGAAATTTCCTTTGTTGATTCTGCTGTAAGTGTACGTGAGTGATCTGTCATTCATTCGTGTCGAAAGATTTTTGTGTATAATTCAAGAACAACGTATTAAGTCAAAATATAAAAGCGACTTACTTATTTCGCCGAAAATAAATAAAGATAATTTATTTGGATCAACGCATCTATTGACATTTTTTTCAAGTTTATTCTTGACACTATCTTACTTAAGTTGTGATGTACCTAAAGTGTAACATCAAGGCCATTAACGTCGAGTCGTCGATTAATTTTGTGCACTCAAAGAGAAAAGGAATCTTCATACAAAAGAAAAAAATGTTTAAAGATCCCATAAGTTTACGAAGTAATATAAGTTTTCTTCTTCGTCGTTATTGAAAACTCTAAGACGTGATACCCTTAGAATTTATTCAGAGTATTGGGCATTAAGAAACTTTAAGGCAAAGTTATATGTTTAATGACTTTGCACTAAGTCGCCCACTGCACTAATTTTGTAATTACAAAATTAATATTCAATAAAATTGTCGAATATCAAAAAAAGTAATTGCAAACATGAAGCTACTGGAAAGTACACGTTTTGAAGCAATAAACAATGCATTATCCATAACAACTGGAGATAGCAAGATTATTGGAAGGTCTGCATTCTTCTATAATTATATATCGCACAACACACATATATACATATGTATATATTTAAATTTTTATTTTAATTTTTTTATTTCTTATAGGATTGAAAGCTACTCCTGTAAAATGGCTGGAAATGATAAACAACTGTACAAACGTTTTAATGCCGAACAAGGTGTAACTCCGCATGATTTTCAAGCCCTGTCACCACCTCAAACTTCTCTTGGCACATCTCCGGGACATAGTTACTTTCGGTATAAGATTTATTGCTGATCAATACTTTTAGTGACGACTTTCTGTCAATTATACATGATATTTTGCTTTTTTTTTTTTCAAGCCGTAGCATTACCAGTGATGATGATGGCCCACTATGCGACACGATTAGTCGAAAAACATTGTTTTATTTAATAGCAACGCTGAATTCAGCATTTTTTCCAGATTACGACTTCTCAGATGCAAAAAGTCATGAATTTAGTAAAGAACCGAGTTTACAATGGGTTATGAATGCTGTTGATAGTAATTTAAGTGCAACGGCAGGAGATCATTATCGTACGCTAAGAGCTGCGCTTTGGGCTACAATTGAAGATGAGATATCTATGAATGAATGTGATATTTATAGGTAAAATTAATGCACATTATTCGTTTAAATAATTTTATGAGTAAATTATATTCGCATTAAACTTTCTTTCTAGTTACAATCCTGATTTAGCATCTGATCCTTTTGGGGAAGATGGCTGCTTATGGTCATTTAATTATTTTTTTTATAATAAAAAACTGAAAAGAATAGTATTCTTTACATGCAGAGCAATAAAGTATGTATTTGTTTGAATATTCTCAAATATTGCAAATATGAAATATATAAACTTCAAATAAATTTAACCAAACGCTTAAATTTTACAGCCCACTATATGCGGTTGATTCTGGTATTGTTAGTGATTTCACAATGGATGAAGATGATGAAGATATTTATTAGATAAAAATTTCTTTCATGCAACTACAAAATTTACAATATATTTCAGTTATAAACTTGTTAATGGCAAAGCAATTAATGCATTGTCATACTGTAAATCTCATTTTGTTCAATAATTTTTCTAAATTCAATAATACTATGAAATTGTATTGTTGCATTTAAAAATTAATAATTTGAAGTAGGAAAACCAATTATATCTGTGCGCGCGCGAATGTGTGGGTGTGTAAGCGTGTGTGTGTGTTGCGTGCGTGCACGTGTAGTATGTACATATATACAATTTTTGTAGAGTATTTACAAAATTTAATGCAAAATTTGATCAAGTGATTATTATGTAAGGATATATGGATATTTTATTATTTATTTTAATCAATTTGCTCGTATTGCAATCAATCTTTGGTTCATTGTACAAATACTTGTCTTTTGAACATATATTATTATCTAGAGTAAATAATTTAATCGTACTAGTTTCATAATAACCAATCAAATCTGTTATAAAGTATTATATTATTTTCATTCATACTTAAAAAACATTATTACATGAATGTTTTAATAATAGAAATATTTTAACAAGTGAGGCCTTATGCATATATATATATATATATATATATATATATATATAAACATGTGTGTGTGTGTGTATGTGTATGTATTATAAATCTTAAAAATTGTATTATTATTGAATATATTAATATGCAACCGATATTTGTACCTTACATCACTCCTTGAAGGCAATATTGATTTTGAAATATTTTCAAAGCAATACAATAATTGGTTTTAAATACTTTCCATTCCAAAAACATTTTCAAATATTTCTTCATTCAAATCATAATTTATTGCTTTAATAATAATTAAAATAATTTAATAGTATTTTAATAATATATTTATACATACGCACACCTATATACACTGACACACCTACACAAATATTTATGATATACTTGACTTATCAATAATTATACAACCGTATTATTAGATATTATGCAAAAATATTTCCATAAAATAATTTTTCTTCTAATTGTATTTGCAAACAAAATATTTTACTAAGCAATGATTTCGTTTTAGTATGAAAGTGTAAAGTTAAAAGCAAAATCTTAATGTAAAAAAATATTCATTCTAATTATGAAATGTGGATGTATAAAACTTACGTTTTATAAATCTTATAGATAGATTTAAAAAATATAAATATTGAAAATGTCAGTAATTAAACTAAAAAGTATACTTGTTATTTCATACAAACTTACTATCTTATAAATATACGAGTAAGTAAATTATTTATCAATAATTATAAAACATTAATTATGTGTAGGTAAAATAATAGAAGGCAAATATTTTAAATATAGGAAAATTATAAAAAAGAAGTAGTCAATTTTGTTTAGGATAGTAACAGGTAGAATTCTAATTTTATAATACTGAGATGGAAATCGTAAATTGTTCATAATAATTATTCCAAATGTATATAATTGTAATTGTAAAAGAAGCCTCGATCATTAACATTATTATAAATTAAATTCAAATCACTTGCCATTTCGTTTTGCAAATAGCACTTATTTCTCGGTTATCTCGTATTCTTTTATTATCGCCGTGTAAGGCCACGTAGATCGAATATTGGGGTACGGGACGAGAGTAGGAAATGAAATGTGCCCTCGGCTCCTGGGAAAAGAGGCCTTTCTGTGTTATGGTCCAACTTTTAATACAGTGAAGAAGTAACTAAGAAGGCACGAGATCTTGATATTAATAGGCTGGGAGGAAGAGTTGGAAGTGAGTTTTTTCAAGGCCGCGAAGGAGAAGTCCCCGTTCACATTGTTTCTTACCTTCGTCTCACAATTATCACTTACACAATGGGACTACTCAGTTACTTGGCTTCTCGTCATGGATGACGGAATTCAATTGTCCTGGAAAGTTCCGCACCATCCCCGCGTCACTCGAGGTTTCTCAAGTTAATTAATTGCAAATGTTATTAATATAAATTTTGAATTACCAGTGAAAATCCAATAATATGTAATTAATTATTACACAATTGAGTTTCGAATTTGCAAAAGGTTGTACTTACGAATATGATATAAGGCGATAAGTCATCGTATAAATTTGTAATCAAAATTTTTCAAGCTTATCATGTATTTTAAATTCCAAACGTAAAACATAAAGTTACATTAATACGTAAATAACATTACAATGTGCAATTGATAGGTATTTTATAATCTAAACATACATGTAAAACGCCGTGAACATTAAAGCTTTTTCAATGTACTTTTGCATACACATAATGTACATGAGTGAACTCGAAAAATATTGACAACTTATAAAATTGTAATAAAAAGTAAATTTATTTTGAATTACATCTGTCTTCAACTGATTATAAATCAAACCTATAACATGTATATTATAATATGAAAATGAATTAAAAATTTACGTACTAAAATCAAAAATGATTTTTAAAATGTACATATTATTATAACGTATTTATTGAGAAGCAATTTTTTGTTACAGTAGTAAATACATGGCGCCGTTATAAAATAAAATAATAAACAAAAATTTCTATGAAATTACTAATTGTAATAAATACCAAAAAAAAAAAAAAAAAAAAAAAAAAAAAAAAAAAAAAAAAAAAAACTAATAATAATTTCGTTATCATTATCTCCTAATATTATTTATAATTTATTTTGAGATTGATACACGCACATATATGCATCGCATAAAAGTCTTTTAGTATATTTAGGTAGTAATCGATCATCTGTTAACGATGCTATTTTGCTTGCTCTCTCATTACTAAACCAATATGAAAATTCTGAACATTGTACAATTTCAGGTATATTGTAACCATTTTGTTCTCCTAGAAAATATCAGACTATTTGTAACAAAGATTTAACGTATTATAGAATGAAGATAACAAATGTGTGTCGAAAGATTTCTTCGCATAAAAATTTAGTGAAATAATATTTGTAATTACCTTAAATTACAAAATTGAATTGTGCAATTTATCTATCTGCATTATTGAACATTTTACCTTTTCTATCTGCCATTGAATCAAAAAAACACCAAGGTGCATCAGATCCGGGACCGCATTTAACAAAAGAAACATAATGTGATGTTTCTATGCAAACAACTGCCCGAAGTTCCAAATATGATCGGTGTACAGGAATTGTTTTTTTTATTTCCTCATACTCCATCGGTAAAACAAGTTTATTGGGTTTATGGTCTTTTCTGTTTACGTGAGAATGAACCTAAACATTTATGTTATTGAAAACAAAGGATTTACAAATAAAATAAAATAAAATAGAGTTGTGCTTCAAACCCTCTTAAGACATGAATTGCAATAACCAGCATTTTCAAAGCCATTAAAAATAACAATATTCTGTGGACAGTCGGTACATTCGTAAGAAGCTAATTTATCACAAACGTTGCACTTTTTTGGAGCTGTAATGCAAACAATTCTTTATTATACAATAGCTTGCGATTGAATAGAAATTGTATAATCTATGACTTACGATCTTCTATAATATCTGTCACATCTAATAGTAATGTTGGTTGTATTTTTGAATACATTTTATATGATTTGCCAAAACGGGGCATCTGTATAATGAAGCACGAAGGAACCTCTTTTAACCTAATTTTGCTCATTTTGAAACTTTGTTCAAGAAGATGTTGAACCGATGGAAAAACAAGTTTATCATCCTTTTCCACAAAAAGTTGATAAAGATAAGCATCCTGTCCAGAGCTGAATTTTAAAAATGGTTTGGCTTTCAGTGTATGTGCAAGTAACGATGTTAAAAATTCTTCTGGATCTATACAAAATAAACAAAAATCGTTTTTACATTAAAATATATTAATTCTATTTAAATATTATACTGGCAAATTTGTTAACCCTTCTCTTCGCTGGTTAAACCGGAGATGGAAGATGATTTTTCCAATAAGGTTCGTAACTTCATAACATGAGGGGCTGTAACACACAATTTTTTTCTTAAAGGATTGACTATCTCTTCTCGTAATACTTTTTGAACTTCCATATATTCTAAGCAATCCTCTTCATTTGGTGATCTAAAAATTGATTGGCAATATTTTCACTGAAACACTACTATAATTTTTTTTTTAATCAATTACCTCCATAAAAGAAAATCAAACACACTAGTGAAGGCAAACATACTGAACAAAGTGGCATCTAAATAACAAGAATTATGATGACCCTGTATACCACGATATTTTCTAAAAATATTTTTTGTATTATCTTTCACCTTTATAGGTGGCACTATTTCATTAGCAACTGAATTCTGAGTGGGTTTAAAATCTTTTTTTTTTGAATTAGAATAACAGCTACTAGACTTTAATTATTGGACATATAAATTTTAATTAAGAAATTAAACTTGTAACTAAAAGAAATTGAAGTTAAGTCTACTTACGGCTGTAACGTACTGTTGATACCTATTTAAATCGGTGACATATGCATTCACTGGATTACACCGAATGTATTTAAGATTTTGATAATTTCCATTTGTCGCTGATGGGTACTTATAATCCTAATGAAAAATATCAACTAAATAAAGTAATTTTCTGAAAAAATTATTATAAAGAAATTAAATTACAATTACAAATTCAATAGTTGCTGTCAATTTATTGGAACCCTCAGGATATCCAATCCAACGTATCACTCCACAATGCGTATCATTATTCATAAGTACTTTAACTTGTGAACCAATTTGTGATTCGCCAGGATTAGTATATTGTTGAATATTTGTAGGTTGTATTTCATCCATTTCATAATCTAAATATGAAATCAATTACATTATTTATAAACTAATATAGTTCTAAATTAAAAAAGAAAAACTTCATTTTTTTTTTTCAAGTTTTTTCTTTTTTTAAAAATTTTATAAAGAATTTACTTTTATTACGAATGGACGAACTACTATAATTACTTTCGCTATCTAAATTATCTTCTACTTTTAAATCAATATCACTACTCCATTTATGTTCTAATACAAAAATTGGAATATCTTGTCTGTCCATTTTATGGATAAATTTCAATAATGATCGAATTTCACAAACGCTGCTACTTACTTTAAGAGTCCCCAAATTAATTTCTAATTTTAAACTCTAAGTTATTATTATCTCATCCGCTACACGTACAAGTTACTCTAAAAAAGTTTCACAGCTTTTTACACAAGTATAACCCGTAAATGGTTTTATAATTTATAATTTATTACCTGAATCTAGAGGATCAAAATATGTCAAATTTTTATCCAATTTTTTTTTATAATTTTGTTGCTCCTCCGATTTGTTTTTTACCGCACAGTTTGAAATATCACAGGCAATATCATCAATCATTTTGTTATTATTGTCAGTATCTACAAACATGGGGTACTTTTCTTTTTTCACAGTATAATTAAACTTTTTATCAACAGTATTTTCTGTATTTTTAGTAATAAAAAAATTGTCAGTATTTTTAGGTTGTAGTATATTATTAGATAAAAAATCTGTCGAGAAAAAAATTGAAATATACTTATATGCTTTGATTAAAAAATATATTAAATTTATAAAAGATAGATTACAAAATAATACTTTTTTCAAAATTTGTGATAGATTCAAAATTTGAATGTTCATATAGAGATATATCCGTAATTGTTGCGTATATTCTAGATGAATTAAAATTAAGTGCTGACTTTTTCTGTAAAATCATATTATGCCTGTCAATGCAGAGTTAAATTGTTAAAAATTCATGATAAGTAAAAGCATATTTTCTTACTGAGAAATCTAAGCCAAAATAATACCCAAATCCACGATTCAATACCGAACCAATGGATTTAACTTCCATTAAATTTTGTTCAGAACCACTTTGATTATACAAAACTTTACTACCTTTTTTAATATTTTCAATCTCCTTACAAAGATTTTCATTGTTCGCTATCTTTATTCTCTCTTGGAAATTTGTAATAGGACACAGAAGTTTCCAAATCAATGGTGAAATTAGACGCAAATCAATCAAATTGCATTTCCATATTACATCGTACCACTTTTCATTATCATCGCTGTACAATAACACTCTTCTTTTATCGTTACCCTCAACTCCAATTGATTTTGCAAGCTGCCCTGGATATACTTTGCAAACATTTTTATCGCATGAACCGTTTAAGTGTATGGCAATTGTCTCGTTTACAAATATACAAAATTCTATTGTTCTTGGATTATCTTGAATAACTAAATGACTTAATTTTCTCAAATTTTCTTCCATTTTAATTCCAAGATATTACAATAAAAACTACTTAAAGCTACTAAATTATATTTGTCGTGATGTTTATACTAATTTTATAAACAAAATTTAAGCAATTACATCAAAGTAATTGCGCATCTTCCTTCATAAAACTTGAAGCATTGTCCATTTATTATAAAATACAAATCATTCAACTTGCATAAAATTAATTTTTCCTACCGACGCACTTAATAACGTTCTATAAGGACTTTAAAATGTTGAATATTCCAAATGATGAAAAATCATTTGAAATTACTGCATTAAAACTGTAATTCTAAGGTTTTTATAATATAAGTTTTTTTTTTTATAAAGCTGTTCCCAACTTATAACGTATATTTCGCCTCTTGCACAATCAACAAATTTTAATTTTGCTTTGCATGTATTTGTAATAATACCGTGTAGGTGTAAAGTTGCTTATTTGGTTTCAAACTTCGACGTCGAAAGGCAAACGTAGAGGGAGGAACTAAGAGATCGACTCTTAAATTCCCTTTTGTTATATCAAATTACAATAATCTGGTAAATATTAGTAAATCGAATATAAAGCCGAAACTATAGTAAAATGATTGTAGCATTCCAAGCAGTATAAGGTGGAATATCAGATTTTCAATTGATATTCCAATTACTACAATATCATTACTCTTAAATGACACGCGTTAAAATCATATGAATTGCACATTTAATCGAATAATATAAAATATATTAGGATGAGATCAAAACAATAAAACAACGAAACACAAGAGTAGCCGAAACAGCCTTCGCGCAACCTCCACAATAAACAAACAATCGAACACGGAGTTTATAATAGTAACTGGTGAATTATCAGTGATAAGCGTACAATTATAGTAGGCGTAATGCATTTACGCACACTATACTTCAATCGCACAGGGCGTGATAAATAAAGCAATTGTAATAAGCTGTCGTTTCAATACTGCTTAACCCAAGCGCAGCTGCACGGCGATGTCTCTATCTTCTCTATCGTAAGCCTATGCAGCATTGTATTCAATAATAATGGAGAATAAACGATCGCATTTATTTATCATTCAATCAATGAAAGCTTATTTTATCTCAACGTTAGCCATCCAATTGGCTCCTCTATTTCGCACTCCCGTCGTACTATCCAGATCCCCCATCGGCGGCTTAATTGCCGAGAATGTTTGGGCAGATTGACATTGCCGCCATCTAGCGGCTTCGGAACAACGAGATATTGCGGGTGCACACGTGATTGTGGCAATGTGCGAGGGCGAGGGAAATAGACGAGCAGGGGGTGCGAATGGGCATGGGCAGTATGACAGACACGGCTGAAGTGAGAAAATCCTCTTAATCCGAAGTTACGGGGGGTAGCGTTAATTTTCAACGCTCTGAAGTCACAGAAGCAGAGGCGACGGAGCGAGAGGCCGGCTATAATGATGAAGTAGAGGAACGAGGGAGTCGGTCGATTAATCCAGATTTGTTTTAATTACGGGTCGCATTAGCCAAAACGTTGAAATAAAAGCTGTGGTGAAAATGCCCGAAGTGGAGGAGGACAATTTTTGTAAAAAAATGAGACGAGCTACCAGGGAAATTCACGCGATCAGCGATGCCCTGGTGAACGCCAAGTTGGCCTTTGGTATCTCCTATACACTTACATTTCTTCTGATTTATATTCTCTCGATTATACGATATTTTCATTCAATTACATTTTCTGCTTCAATTTTATTATAATTTTTCTATTTAACTATTATTATGTTCTCCATTTAATTATTAATTTTAATTGTTATTAATAGGTTTCATGGATGACAAGGTGTGGGCAGATGGTCTTTTAGTATTTTATGAAATTTTTCGATACCTAGAAGGTGCTATGCTGAGATTAAAGAATACAAAAGTAGGGCAGTTGAGAATTGAAGGTCTTCAGCGAACGGAAGCATTTGAAAAAGATCTTGAGTTTTACTTAGGAAAAGGTTGGATGAAAAATTATACTCCAAGGTAAGTAATTGTCATTTAATCGATATGGAAGAGATTTCGATCTATTATACAGAACATGCATTTCAGGGATAGCGTAATCAAGTACTTGATGAGACTTAGGGAAATCGAAGATACGGACTCTCTACTTCTAATAGCATATATTTATCATCTTTACATGGGTCTTTTGAGTGGTGGAATAATTTTGCGAAAAAAAAGGCAACTCGTACAAAGAATGAATCCATTTAAAGATACGGTGTTGAACGATGGTAATCATCTGACAGATTTTGGTGAATACAACATTTATGAAATGAAACGTGAACTGCGCAATGCAATGAATAGGATAGCAGACTTATTAGATGAAGATACAAAAAACAAACTCCTCGAAGAAAGTAAAACTGTTTATATGCTAAATAATGAAATCATTAGAAGTGTCCAAGGAGCGGGCTCAGTGATTATTAAAAAACTTGTATATTTTTTTATTTCCATTATCATTGTCGTCTGTTTTTTCTTTCATTTATTTAGACAATAGATTATAAAAAATCATCTTCCAATCTATTCAGAACTGTACATATATTTTCTTAATTATAGTAATAAGTCCTGCTAATAAATCATTACTATTTTATCATTAATAAGCAGGAACACTACTTTACTGTAGTCATTATACAGTTCTAGTCGATAGATGAACATTGTAAGAAAGTAATTTATTCCAGAGCAAATTATATAATCAAGAACAAGATAATGTAATATAAAATTTTCTTAGCATTAAGTAGTTAAGTGATTTGTGAAACAATCGAATTGGCCAATTTTTTGCCACAATGTTAGAGAGGAAAAAAAAAAAAATAAAGAACAAGTGTAACTTGTAATTTTTGTATCTTGCATCAATTAAAAATTATAAATATTTTGCAATTGCTTGTAAATACTACTACAAAGGCTTGCAATAAGTAAAACAACTTTTCAAATAAAATTTTTTATATTAAGTGATAATCCTTGCACTTATAAAAATCATATTAATACTGTAGATGTAATAATTGTGAAAAACTATCACTTCGGACACATGTAAAAAAAGAAATATCAATGACTTTATGAAAACTATCATATAATGATGATTCTACCAATCATCCATAATCTATAATTTTATAAATCGCTCTATATAACTATTTCAATTATTCAAAATGCTTTACATTTTTCAACAACAGTATAGAGCTGACGTAATCTTATGCTTAACTATTTTGGCAATGATAAAATTAATTTATAATAAAATGATAGAATTATTAAATCACAGCATTGCTTTTTCTTTTTTACATAATAAAGTTAAAGGCAATTGAGTATTGACTTTTTGTCAAACTTGAAATTCATCCAAACTTGTGTTCGAAAATCAAATTCTGAAAAATTACAATTAAGTGTTTGTACTCCATATTGAGACGGAGTTGACTTCTCAGACGTTTTTCGAGTAGTTTTTCCAAAACTGGATTTGCCATTACTATCTGTAACAGGTAATAAAAATATTATAACATTTGTAATAATTATAAATATTATTATAAATGCAAATTACAACTGTTTTTTTACCTTTCTTATCTCTACCACCTACAGCAGTTTTATTGCTTACATTTTCAAAACGTTTTACTCCTTGATTCGTCGATTCTTTTGAAAATGTATTGGATTTAGCTTTTAATGGGCTATCTACCAATTGTTTGGCGAGAATTGCCGATGATTGTTCTCCGTTTGATTCTCCAAACAAATTGCGCTTGAATGCCCCTTTGGAAAATGTATTTTTATTTTCATGAACTCTTGATCGATTTGGTATAGGTGAGGTATTAACTTGACGTGGATATTTAAGATCTGTTCCTTCGTTCTAAAATTCAATTTCATTTGAATGATATAATTTACAGTTTCACCATAACAAATATTAAGAATTATTTATACTCTAGAGAATATTTGTTGTCGTTTGCTTTTAGCAGTAGATTCGATATCTCCAACAGATTTGTGACGGTGCCTCCTCGCTTGCGCTGTAAACGTATTTTTATCCCTTTGTAATTTTTCTTGAACCCACCTTTTCATTCGCCTATGTAGAATAATAATTTAAATATTCTCATTTAAATTTAACCAATTAAAATTAAGATAAAGCCTTACTTCACAAATGGAACTACCATAAAAAATGCATTTGGTCCTACACCCATTTTTACCTTTGGTGTCATATCTTTTTTATTATTAGGTAAATTTTCCAGATCAAACCATTCTACATTTTTAATTTCTTTGCGTGTTTTCGGTTGGAATTTTGTATCCTTTTGTACTCCGTATATTAAATACAATCTGACAAGTTGATCATTAATAACAGATTCGATATATTCATTTTTATCGATTAAATTTGAAATGTCAAAGCCAGTTTCTTCTAAAACTTCTCGCACCGCACAATGAGAAGGATCTTCATCTTCGTTAATTTTTCCTTTTGGAAAACCCCAACTACTTTTGGCCCAATAACTTTGAACAAGCAAAACTTTGGTTAAATCTTCATTTAAAACTATCGCACCAAATGTAGGTACATTTTGTTTGTATTCGCGCCATTGATCAAGTATAACATCAACACGTGGAACATGTGGCTTTAAAAAGGGGATGTGCCTGAAAATGTGAGTTGTAAATTCTTTCATGCCACATGATTTCAACTTCGAGTCCTCTTCTGTACAATAAAAATCTAAGTAAAACCAATGAGCAAGTTCTATTTGAAAACATATACGAATGTGATCTTTCCTCTCTTCCTCGGGAATATTAATGATGAATCGACTGCAAAAATTAATATTTAATGATTTTTCTCATTAACAACTTGTAGAAAATACTTTTTAAGTAAAAATTTAACCTGCTTAAATCATCGAGAATATCAACTGGAATTGCATGTTCCGACATTTCTTAAATCTTACAAATTATGCGATAATAAGTTCGTACTTTCTCTTAATAAGTTAAGATAACAATTTTACAAAACTACTTGCTTAATTAGAAAATCAAAACAAAAATTTACTGCGACCGTAGTTACTACGCATTTATACTTCTCGCCATCTTGTATGTAATCGATGCCTGATATATTACGTACAAAATAATTAGAAGTCAATAAGTATTTTGTATTGGACTCTAAACAATAATAAATATGGATTCTTATAGGTATAACTGCATTACCAGAAATCAATAAAAAATTGTTATTATTTGTATTCATGTTGATTGTTAGTATATACGTTAGTATTGTTCCTTTGACATACCGGTGGTTTTATCATAATTTATTTTTAATTTTTTTAAATATTATTTCAAGATGACTCAAGAAGTGATGGGTAAACAAAAATATAAGTTTATTAATAATTTTCAATTGTATTCAAAGTATAATATTGTATGATTATAAAATGTTTCCTACAGATTCATTGTTTGCGATAAGCAATATTGAAATTCAAGAAAGTCATAATAATGAAGATATTTCATTTGATAAAATTATTGGGCACATAGAAGATATTCTAATGGGTAAATTTATTTGCTGCAAATTATTTACATTAAATAAATATAAATATATAACATTAATTCTTAATTTTAATGCTGCAGAAAATGAATTTCAGTCTATACAACAATACTTTTTGGATAATTACTGGAATATATTTGAACCAATTGAAGAGAATAAATTAATGTACATGGAAATATTTAACGATTATGTAAGTTAAATTTGAAAATTAACTTATTGTGAAAATATTTTAATATGTCTTCGTTTTATTTAGAACAAAAGAATTGATAACTATATCACTACCAACTTAAAAAAAATTATACCAAATTTTTCAATGGATGACTTTATAAATGAATTACAGTTTGTATAAAATTATTTAAACCTTACATTACAAGCATCAAATAATTAAAAAAATAATATTTATTTATTTATTTATTGATACAGTAAAAGACGTTCTAAATTAGATGGAGAAGTTTTTGAAATCCTTCTTACATTTACTGATTTTTTAGCATTTAAAGATTTACTTTTGGATTATAGAGCTGTAAGTATTTTAACTTTAAGAATAGAAATTGTAATAAATATTGAAAGTAACAATGCCCTTTTTTTATTTAGGTAAAAGAAGGAAAAGTTCAAGATCTAAGTAGCGGTATACTAATAAAATCTACCAAAATGTAAATAATTTTAATATCGATTTATCATTACTTATTTATTTCTCAAATACGTCATTCTAAAAATAATTTTTAATTTATTACACATCTGTATTTATAAATTATGTGAAATTTAAATAAAAATGAATCAAATTTCATATTTTAAAATTAGGTTATTATAAGAATAAATCGAATTATTTTATAAAAAATATTACAGATCAAAAATAACCAAAATTTGTAACCTAAACGATTAAAGTTATTGCATAAAAATTTCCATTTGAACTAGTCGAATATTTGTTTCATTTGGCATTCTAAAAGGAAGAGTTCCTGCAAAATTAGTTAATGCACGAGCGTGTTCTCTAAGATCTTTTAATTGTTGTTGTCTTGCAGTATCATCGTATTGACTGCCTTGTAAATCATTATACCGATGATAAAGAATAGTCATCGTTGCTAAAAGGACATCAGCTAAAGTACCGGTTATTTCTGGCGATACTCGACGTAAAGCTGTAACCCTTTCATCAACTTCTTTAACATGTAGTGGCAATAATTTTGAATCGGCTATAGTCTAAAAATACGATAAAACATATTACATTATAGAATACAATTAAAAATGGAATAAGTAATTTATTTTACTCATTATTACTTTAAGAGCATTTTGATGTTGATTATTATGAAATTGGTCAAAGAAAACCATAAGATCTCTTAAAATGTAAAAAGCTGCAACTGACTCAGCTGCTGCTTGAATTGGCAGGCCTTGATACCTATAATACACAAAAATATACAAAATAATTGATTATGTCACTTAAACTTTATGTAGTTAAATATCCACAATATTCTCAACCTTACCTAAGACTTATTTCAGTCGCTTTAATCTGTAATCGAGATCTAAGAGAACCTGGAGTACTTTTTTTACTAACTATTTGAGCTAAAAGAACACTCATTAAACTTAATACTTTTTCGTGATTTCCAATTAAATCGTACATTAAAACAGCATCTTCCAAAAAGCCCTTTCTTTGTAGAGTTTCTGCACTAATATTAAGAACATCGTCCGTATTTATTTGGAATTGATCTAGTAATCCAGGTAATCTCCTATCTTTATCAATTTTTCCAACAAGTAGTGTACGGTTATCCGATGAAGCCTCTACAATCATTTCTGCTACCGATGCAGCAAACATGTTTCTTTCATATGGATCTTTCATATTTCTATTATTCCAAATAAATAAAATATACACAATTATTTAAATGAATATAAATGTAAATGATTACTATAATTTATTTTTAAAACTGACCTCAATAGAAACAAATAGTGTAATGTCTCTTTTGGATCGTATGATTCAAATTTTTTCACATAAAGTAATATTAATCTTGCAAAATTTAGTCTTTTTGCTGGAGGCTTATCTGCAGGATCTACGCTTATCAATGGAGCTAGTACACTTTGACTGACTGCTAATAAATTATGCTCGTGCATGGCAGCAGCTAAATGAACTGCATGAACTAAATGTTCGCCTCCGGCTCCTCTAGCAAGAAATTCTATCGCAGCTTCAAATTGTCCAGTTAAAAATAACATTGAAAAATATAAAAATGGTTGATCATGAGCATGATAATATGATTCACCTAAAGCGTAAAACAAAATTTAATTTTTTTAAAATTTACTTATTACAAATAAATGCCACGATTCATACCATAAATATCTAAAATAGTTGTTTGTAAATTTTCTAAAGTTAATTTAATTTCTGAATCTGGTTGGTCCCTTACTTGACATAATTTAAGCCACAAATAATCATCAGCTGCCGACATGACTTCAGTATGTAGATCATCGGGTTCACATGGAACGAGTACACAATAAGCAGCCTTTTTATAAGGATCGGTAGCAGATCTTACATGCTTCCTATAATGAAGTTTTAAAGTCGATTCTGCTCTAGAGGTGGGATGATGTTGTGGATCTTCTATTGCTTCTTCAAGAGCAGATCTAAATTCTTGAAAACTAGTACCACACTGATTTAAACATTGCAACGCTGCTTTTAAATCACCAGATCTCATACAATAATAAACTAAGGGCCACAAAGGCTTATCTTCTACCAATACTTCTTCCAAATCTCTCATATTTTGTATTTTAATTCCAACAAAACTTTTCACTAAGGGTAACGTACCAGGTTTACCTCCTCTTTTAGCTTGTGCCAAATTCTCACTTATCACAGAATTCATAAATTCTTTATATCTGTTTTCAAGATACTTTCTTGCTTGAGATACAATTTTTAATTCAACAACACTACTATTTCTGTATTTGAGTTGATCACCCGTTGGTGTTAAGGGTAAATCGATCATAGATTTCACCATTTGCCACATATCCAAAACTTTTTTATCATAAAATGTTTCTGCTGCTTTAGTAAAGATTGTAAATAAGAAAGGTCTGATAACTCCTTTTAATATTTGTTCATTATAATTTTGCAATTCTCTAACATAAGCAGCTTCTATATTACTTAGATAATTTATCATTAATCCATCAACTTTAGTCCTTTGGGGTGTTCCACGAAGATCGACTAACTCTCCTGATGGAGCAGTCATAGCATTCATGATTTCAAATCTCATTTGTTTCCATTCACCAAGAGTATGCTCTAATTGTTGAACTCGATTTAATTCAAAAGTCTAAAAATTGTTATAAAATTATGAATAAACGAGCCTTTATGAAGAAAATATAATGCACTTTTTGAAGTACACAAAAGTTTTTAATAAAATCATTGCTATAACATGCAATATATACGACAAATTTGGGCAATACTTACATCCCTGTGAACTTGTTCTATGATTGAGAGTATAGCATTCTCTTTTTCATTCTTAAGATAATTTACAATATCAGTATCAGCTATAGGATCAAGAGGCTCAAATGTTCGTCTAGTACTTAGAGAATTTAATTTTTGTGAAATTTGTGATAAGTCAATGCCTTTTGATCCAAGAAGTATGTGCCTGAAAAAACATAAGCATTAAATAGTATTTTTCAATAAAAGAATTAATGAATAATCGGACACTTACGCGTTAACTTGATTATCTTGAGTTCCAGTTTGTTTCATTTGTAACCATATTTCATTAGAACTATAAAGTATTTGTCGAAGGTTTCTTTGCACTTGTGGAAGATCTCCATTTCCTTCAACATCAGCAGCCATCTGCTCTGCTATTCTGAGCAATTCATTTAAATCCGAATCACCCATTCTTTAAATGTAATATTTTCAATTCACATAAATATAAACCACTGTCCGTTTCTCGTTACTAGCGACTATTATTTAAATACCGCTAAAACTTCATAACCTTATAACGTAACGCCGACTATTCACGTGTTGCGTTGCATTGAATCTTAAAAATTTAAATACATGATATCTAGAAATATTCTCTTAACTTGCTTAATACATTTTTTTTTTTTTTTTTTTTTTTTTTTTTTTTTTTATTTTAATGTTAAAAATAATTAGTTATCCTGTTAATTCAATTAAAAATTTTTTGAAAACTAATTTGCATTACTTTAGAAACATGTGATAAAATCCAGAACAAATAGCAGCTACACTTTCTTGAAATGAAATCAATATTGATTAAATATTGTGTTTTTACCTTTTAAATTTTAATGGTCAGTTACTTTTATAACGAATTGTTGTAATAACAAAAGAATAACAAATGCAAATATTCACTCTCAAATTCACGCAAACACAAATACGCGTTGCAACGATTTGAACAAAATGGCGCGAAAATGCATCAACATTGTAACAGAATGTTTCAGTATGTTTCATTTTCTTTTTTTTTTATTATTTACTTATTACAATGAAATATGATTTAAAAATTTGAACAAGTATTTTTAAAAAGAATTGAAAAATTATATTTGAATTTTACTTAACAATATTTCAGTATAATATAAAAGATTCAACGACTCGGATTTAGTTCACTATTATTAAATAATCAAATACAATTCTTTGTAGTCAAAATAATAGTATTTCATATAAACAATGGGAAAAAAAAAAAAAAAAAATGAATATCGAGCTAATTATAAAAATATTTAACAAATTTTGAAATTTAAAGATGCATAAAAATTATAAAGATGATTATAAAAGTCAAATAAAATATTTTTTGATTAATTACTAAGTAAATAAAGTAAATAATTAAATAAGCAAATAAATCATTAATATACCTTCGATTATATATACTTATATAAGTACTTTAAATAATATAAATATTTCTTTATATATGATTATTTAAATTTAAAGTAGACAGATGGTGTTGTGTTTATACGGGTGCATGCATTATTTAATTATCGATTATTTATTTATAGCATCGAAACATCTAATTAAAATGAAATAATTAGAGGGAACCCAAGGTAAATTAATAAAATACTTGAACATATTTTGTTGATCTGAATTTAAAAATTTATTATGATATGTAAAGGAATGCAGCTTCAGAAAATAATATTAATTACAAATATGCCTACTTAAAATAAAAGAAAAACTTAAGCGACCGTCGATCCGCATATATTTACTTGTATTATTTAAAATTTTATACAATTTTAAAATTCCATAATAGTATTTTTTTTTATCAGTCGAAAATACAGTGCAACAAAGACTTGCCATATAAAATAAAATAAAAGATGTCTCCGATTGGCTGTTTCTAGCTGTGTCAGATAATTTCTGTTATCTATACGATCCATCTTATCCATCTTGTGTCAGAAAATGATAAAAACTATTTCGCTTACTCGATTAAATATGAATTTAATATAATGATAATGCAGTTGATTTCTCGTAAACATTAACGAGTTTATTTAGCTAGCGACAAAGAAAATTTTCACAGCGATGCCGTGAGCAATTCTTTGTCAATGTGCGCTACGTAGCAAGGAATCCGCATAAGCCGCAAGATGTCTGGCACTCGCGCAATGTAACAGCTATACAGAATAGTCGAGTTGGTATTCGATATTTGGAATATAAACTCCTCTGAAATATATTTTTAATCGCCTATTCCGTACATCCATCGTATAAAGCTTATACGAGAATTTAAAATAAATAAATATATATATATATATATATATATATATGTATATATATGTATATATATGTATATATATGTATATATATGTATATATGTATTACGTGCTCAATGCACCAGCTCGTCACGCGGTCACGCACATCCGACATTATTGTACCTTCGTTAATATAATTTTTTCGTTATTACCCGCGTAATACATATCACTATATGCGCAAACGCACGCGCGTGCACACGCACACGCACACGCACACACATATATACGAACATATCTTATTTTACGTTTGTGATTTTAAATTATTATCTCAAGATATTAATTATTATTTTAGCGTTGCGAAACGTAACGAATCAATCGATTATTATACAGGAAGAGAGTCAATTAGTGCACTAAACACGTATACAAAAAAAAAAAAAAATAAAAAAAAATAATAATAATAATATAATAAAATATATAAATAAATAAAATAAAAAATCTGCGATAAAAGACTATTTTCATTGCGTCATAACGGTCGGACTAACGACTGAACTTGACCCTTAAATAAGCGCAGTGGTGGTGAGTTTCTCGACCGACGTTCGTTCGCATCTAAAGACTCGCCGTCCTTTTAGTCTTGAAAGGGCGGCTAAGGGGATGATGAAAAAGATTGGCGCTGACGCCCTATGTGCACCCACGTATCATCGTCGTCCCGAGCTGCTAAGGAGGCGAGCAGATTGACAAAACAAAACGTCCGGCTGAAAAGTGCCCCGGGACAACGCGTATGTAGGGGCGAACGTAGCGACGTCGTCTACGTGTGCCCTCGACAGCTTGGGCCGTTGACCTTCCTTAAGGACATAGCCATGTCCCCAGACCGGGTCAGACTCGGCTCTTGCGTTCATAGGGGAATATGCGAACGAGGAGGTGGTTACAACCGCGCCGTCGTCGTCGTCGTTACAGTCTCCGGCGTTCATCCTAACCTCTTATGCTATCCCGATTCCAAGTATTTGTTAAAGGCGGTACAATGCTACGAAAGACTCCACCCACCACCTTGACGAAATGTCTTTTTCGACGCTAAAAGCCGGGAAGTCGCGAGAGGCTACCGAATGCGGGAATCTCACCGAGCTTAGCCGGTGAATCGCACTATGCCTTTATTATACGCAATCGCGCGCTTTGCCATGGCTTTGATCAAACCTGAGCCCTCCTCCTTCCTACTACACAACCGTACACATTCATCTATCCCTATCTCGTAGTAAAAAAAAAATTTCCTCGAGCTTTGTGCGGAGCTTCGTCGCGGCGATTAGTCGCCGGATCACCTGCCACTTTGTCCAACTTCAATCAATTCGTGTTCGTCCTCGTCCCCGAAATATTGAAATACTCTTATGGGTATATGTGCTCTTGTGTATGATATGCTATCGTCTTTATGGGACATTTGCTTCTTCATTAATCCTTAACTGCTGCATAAAGATTGTTTGCGATGAAAAGGCGGCGCGGCGCACCTGTCAATTACCAATGTAATTCTAGTTGTCGTTTCACAGAATTTTTTCTTTCTTTTCTTTTAAAATTACAAAAAAAATCATCAATTTTACTTTTTAAATCGGCGATGAAAATTATACATGAAATAATTTATCATTAATTGTTGCAATTTTTACTTATAATTAGTTTGCGAAAAAAATTTACGACTGCAAAATTAGTGTGTGTGTGTCTGTGTGTGTGTGTGTGTGTGTGTGTGTGTGTGTGTGTGTGTGTGTGTGTGTGTGTGTGTGTGTGTGTGTGTGTGTGTGTGTGTGTGTGTGTGTGTGTGTGTGTGTGCGCGCGCGTGTGTTTTTGTTTATAAACACATATAAATATATATATATATATATAATTAAACAGTTTTTATTATAATATTTTTATATTTTTTTATGATTTGATTTTGGTGAACAAATAATTTGGTGAACGGTACGATTTAGCAAGAATCTTCGCCATAATTATTCAACGGCTAGAAACATAATATTCATTTCTACCGTAGCTCTAACATATTCTTCAAAGAATATGCGTTTATCAATTTATACGCAGTCCAGCTGCTTGAAAAGCAAAAAAGCTCATTTTTCTCAAAGTAACTTATCAAGGAGAAAAAAGTCCACGTGTGAATGCACACACTTATGCACACATTCTCGCACACTTATGCACGCATGCACACTTGTTCGCGTGAACTTGCATGGGCGTATGCAAGCACACACACCATACACGTACAGCCATACGCAAACACCCACGCGCACACGCACGCGCGCACACGCACGCACGCATTTAATATAATTATTAAGTTCCGTTTACTTGATGCAGATTTCTACTCTCCTGTGATTAACTAACCTAACGCCGCAACACCGAGTTTACCAAGCCGACAGTTAGTAGAGACTTTTGGTTTGCCCGCTGAAAAGAGGAGGGAAGCAGCGCTCGCTCGACTCACCGCTCCACTCGGCTCCTGATACCCTAATATTTCACAAAATGTATTGTCACTTGATTGTCAATCTGCTTTTTACTTGCGGTCGGCTCATTATTATCGCAGATCCCCTATGGGCTTGCATAGAATACTCGTCCTTTTACCGCTCGTAGACCGAGTTCCCGACGAAACGTCGATAATGTCGAGGGCACGCTTTCCTTCCCATTATGCATTTAACCGGCGCCTATTACCGTGTCGTCTTTGTCACGTGATGAAGGTCGCGACCTATTTATTAAAAATTGCCGGCACCGCGTAGAGAATACGCAAAAATCCTTGCATCTCGCCCATTCTGCCCATTCGGTGCATTTCCATCACCTCCACCCGCGCCCCATTGTCATCGTCGTCGTGCTCTCGCCCTATCCCCACCCACCCCCGCCGTCAACACACCGTCAACGCCACCTCCATCACCTCCACCACCTTCACCGTGTTTCGCATTCACTTATACTTCGTGCATCGAACGAAATTCTCATTCGATCGCGCGGCTCACCGCCACCTTCTTCCTCCATCGGTGCGATATTATTCAACGAGAACGAATTTCTTTGAACGTTTGCGCGCTGGGCAGAACCCCGATCCAAGGGTCAGAATGGCAACACGTCCACAAACGACAATAAAGCCAGAGTGCGATCCACTCGGCGGGGCTGAAAATGTAGATAAGAAAGAAAGACAGCAATAAGCATGGTGTCTCGTTTTGCATAATCGGGTTTGCAGTGGCTCGGGCCCGTCCAAAACATTGTACATTTAAATGCCGCCGGACTCGACGACGAGTTTGTTGTCAATCGCGCGGCGCATCCGCAGAGCAGCAACCTCGTACGCGCCTGCACTGGTGTACGCGCGCACTCACGCACACGCGCACGCACTCACGCACGCACGCACGCACGTACGTACAATACATACGTGCGCGCGCGTGTGCACGGTGGGAGAAGCGTGCACACGTACGCG